TGATAAGGGGGATAGGGATATGGGGCATGAGGATAAAAGAGATAGGGGTATGGCGGATATGGATGTGTGGGATAGGGATATGGAGGATTGGGATCTGGGGGATATGGATACCAGGCATGGGGAAATTGGGGAAAGGGAAAGGATATGGGGTTTATGGATAGGGGGGATAGGGATAAAGGGGGATTTCGATGCATGGGATAGGTATATGGAGGATAGGGATGTGTGGGATAGGGATATGGGCGATTGGGATATGGGGGGTAGGGATATGTGGAATTGGGATTCTTGGTGTAGGGATATAGGGGAAATGGAAATATGGGATAGGGATATGGAGGATATGGATATGGAAGATAGGGATAAGGGGGATAGGGATATGGGGATATCGATGCATGGGATAGGGATATGGAGGATAGGGATGTGCGGATTGGGATTCTGGGTATAGGGATATAGGGGAAATGGAAATATGGGATAGGGATATCGAGGATAGGGATATGGGGGATATGGATATGGGAGATAGGAATATGGGGGATTGGGATGTGTGGGATATGGATTTGGAGGATACAGGGTGGGGATATGGGGGATATGGATATAGGGGATAGGGATATGGGGAAGAGGAATATGGGGATTGGGATATGGAGTACAAGGATGTGTGGAATAGGGAATCAGGGGGTTGGGACATGGGGGATAGGGTTATGGGGTATGGGGATTTTTGGCTTAGGGATACGGGGGTTAGGGATATGAAGGATATGGATGTGGGGGATAGGTGTAAGGGGGATAGGGATATGGGGAATAGGGATATGGGAGATAGGTATATGTGGGATGGGGATATAGGGGATATGGATATGGGGGATAAGGATACAGAGGACATGGATGTGTGGGATAGGGATAGTGTGGATTGGGATATGGGAGATTGGTACGTGTAGGATAGGGGATACACGGAATTTGAACATGAGGGATAGTGATATATGGATATATGGGATGGGAATATAGGGAATCGGGATACACAGGATAGGAATACAGTGGTATACAGGATTAGTTAGGGATATGGGGATAGTTATATGGGGTATAGGGATATCGGGGATAGTGATACGGGGTATACGGATACATAGGATAGGGATATGAAGGATATGGATTTGTGGGATAGGGATAAATTGGATAGGGATGTGGAAGATAGGGGATGTGTGGGATAGGGATATGGAGGACATGGATAGGGAGGATATGGATATTGAGGTTAGGGATATATGGGGGATATTGATATGTGGGATTTCGATATGGAGGAGAGGGATATAGGGGATAGGGATACATGGGATAGGTCTAGGGAGGATACGTATATGGAGGATAGGGATATGGGGGATAGGGATATTGAGGATACGGATATATGCGGGATATTGATATGGGGAATTGCGAATGGAGGATAGGGATATGGGGGATATGTATACACGGGATAGGGCTAAGGGGGATATATCTATGAAGGATAGGGATGTGGGGGATAGGGATATGATGAATAGGGATATAGAGGATAGGGATGTGTGGGATAGGGATACAGTGGATAAGGACATGGGTGATATGGATGTGTGGGATAGGGATATACAGGATAGGGATACATGGGATAGGTATACACAAGTTTAACATGACTGGCAGTGTCGCAAGGCAAGCACTGTGGAATTGTGCATCATACTGGGCGGGATTTAACTCAACAAGAGCTGCTTTCAAAACGTAGATAAGCGAATCATGTACATTTGATACCAAAAAAAATGTGTATCATACTTGGACAAGTGAAGATTTGTCGACAAAATAATCATTCTCCCCTCCCTCCCTCCCGGATTCCCTCTCTTCCCCACCTTCCCCCCCTTCCCTCGCCTTCCTTCTTTCCCTCCCTTATGTCTGCCCTCCCTCTCTGCTCACTTGCCCTCCCCCTCTCTTCCCCCCATCCCCCCTCAGGCTCATCAGAGGCATCGCTTTTGCCGCCTTCTGCCCGCCGCTGCTGCTCTCAACCAATCAAGTGAGCATTGAAAAATATTATGTTGTCGACTATAGCATGCCCTTTACTTCTAATTTTGTCTGCCGATCTACCACCTGCTATGGCAATAGCCATCTCTTCCCATTCCCTCCCACCCGCCCCTCCCCCCCCCTCCTTCTTCCCCTCCCTCTCACACACACTCCATTCATCCCCTCCATTCATCTGCCCACCCCCCCTCTCTCTCCCCCTCCTCTCTCACTCTCTCCCCCCTTCTCTCTCTCCTCCCCATTTTCTTTCTCTCACTCCCCCCCTTCTCCCTCTCTCATTCCCTTGCTCTCCGCAGCTACCAGCAATCGAACCATATGCATTCGCCCAGACCTCTTCCCTCCTGATGCATGTGGTCTCGATAACTCCAGTCCACGTGAGTACATGCACCATGAGCCATGTGAGTATAACAAGAGGGATGGCCACGAGGCGCTGATGGATTGGCTGGAGTCCCTGGATGGAGGACACATGGCAGCATGGTTCAGGCAGAATGGAGTTAATGGAAGGATTAGCTTCCCTGAACCAGATCCAACTCTCCCCAAACCAGATCCGGCCCTCCCCGAACCAGACGCAGCAGCCAATGGTAGCCTGCCCAAACTTGATTCCCCTGAGCCCAACGTACCAAATTCTGGCTTGTTGAAGCCGGGACCAGACCAGCCGAACTAACCTACCCTATGGGACCTTGGTGTGCTGAGCCTGCTTTAAAGAGTGTGCTTCTTAGAAAAATGCATTTTGTTGAACGTACTCAAAAAGTACTTGACCACGTATACAACCCAGCAGAAGCCCCACTGCCCTTTCCACTATGCATTGCCTTTGCACTAAGAGCGTGTGTTCCTACCTTCTTACCTAACGCGCCCCCTATCAGACGTGCGCAGTATTATACACTACAGATATGAAGCGATTTGGTTCAATGCAGTTCCGTTCGGTGCGACATAAGTCTGATCAGAGTTCCTAGGAACAGGGGTCTAATGGCTAATGCTTCACAATTGCAAACAAGCATACCTTCTATATTTCGTATTATCCCATCTGAATATGAGTCGACTCAAAAGCATATTTCATATTATCCCATCTGAATATGAGTCGACTCAAAAGCATATTTCATATTATCCCATCTGAATAGAACACTATTCGCCACGGCCCCAGCAATCCCACCCGCCATCTCATAAGCCACTCTCACTCCAGCTGCGACCCCCCAAGTCACCCATCCCTCCTTCATCCCATATGCCGGCTCCTCCACACCCACAATCATGGTGATTTTGGGTTTTACCCATATCACCTCCATGACCATCCGCTCCTTCCATCCAGAAACCCATGGCCACCATCACGAGGTGAACTTTCTCTACCACATGCCAGACCAGTCCCACCAACCGCCCCAAGCACTGCTGCCCCACCCGCCACTGCCAGAACCGCCCATGCCCCCCCAACACCTCCAGCCCCGCCATCATGGCCGGGGCCATCAGGACCCCCATGGCCATGCCCGTGACCGCCTTGCCCATGCCCATGGCCTCCATCTCCAAAGCCACCTCCGTTGTTGTCACCGCCGCCAATGCCGCCACCAACGCCACCGCCGATGCCACCTCCGGTGGATGAAGTGGCGCATGAGAAGTCGAGGGTGAGCGCACCACTGCGATAAGAACACAGCGGTTGGGGTTTAGATTTGGTGAAGAGAAGAGCAAACCAGCGAAATGAGGCAGAGGAAACAAGTTGGTACACCATCAAATGCCCCATATCCAACTTTCATGTGCCAGTGGAAAGAAAAACTATTGATTCAAGAACAAGCACTATCGAGCTTGACTTACTCATTCTCTCCGTGGAAACCAAGGGTCTGAGAGCCGCCTTGGGAGTATCCCCAGATGAGGGTGTTGGACCCGTTCACACTCACTGGGATGGAGCCATCGCCCTGGGCCCGAGAGAACCTGCTCAACACGGGCCAAAACAGAAGGCGATAGTAGGGTATGCAGTTCTAGATTAGTGGATCTCAGACAGTGTACTGCAGGTGGTTTCAGGCGCCTGAAAACTGGAAGTTGGTAAGAGGCCATGTACTTGGCGATGAGCCAGCCTCAAACCATGAACTTGGCGATTGCTTACAGGCATGACAAGCCAAGGGGGGGGGGGGGGAGAGAGGGGGAGGGAGGAGGGGGGGGAGAGAGGGGAGGGAGGAAGGGGGGGGAGAGAGGGGAAGGTACTACAATGATCAAATTCATCGAACCCCATGACTTACTTCATAACCTTGGAGCCACTGGAAGTGGTAGTCAGCGCCGCACCACTCCCAATACTGAAGCTGCTTGTAGGCTGAACGTCGCTCATCCCATAGCCGCTCATGTAGTAAGCCGCCACAGCCCCGCCCGGCAGGTTGCCAATGATAGTGTCAGCCGGGGCCATGCGGCCGTCCGCAGTCCACGCCAGGGAGAACCACCCCGCTGCTGCCGTGCTGCCCGCTGCTGCCTCCAGGGCGAGGTTGACCTGAGTAGCACTAACGGTCTTCCAGTGTAGCGTGAGAGAGGAGTCAAGGGGGGCAGAGTAGGTGTAGCTGGGGAGGGTGGATGTGGCACAGGAGGAGGAGGAAGATGGAGGGGAGGTGGAGGGAGGGGAGGTGGAGGGAGGGGAGGAGGAGGGAGGGGAGGTGGAGGGGGGTGCAGGGGAGGAAGGTGGGGAGGTTGAGGGAGGAGCGGAGGAGGAGGAGCCATCGCAGGAGAAATCTACTGTGGCCACTCCACTGCGAGGAGAGGGTGAAGAGGCGTGGAAGGGGCAAGGAAGAGGCCCAGAAGGAGAGGGGGTGGAAGGAGGAAAGAGGATTCGGACGTAAGGTTCAAGCTGAGGGTTGTTACGGCTATGAGTGTGTGAAACGGTTAGGGAAGGGGCCACAGGATGGCAACCTGGACAATCACTTTCCAGTTGAGGGGACAGCAGAACTCATAATATCTTGGGGGTGGTAACGAAGCCAACAGACTTCACATTCACACTGGGAAGAGCGACAGGTGCAAGTCTGTTCACTCACTCATTCTCGCCGTGGAAGTCAAGTGACTTGGAGCCGCTTTCAGAGTAGGCCCAGATGAGAGTGTTGCTGCCGCCAACGTTCACTGGGATGGAACCATCGCTGGAAACGCGGGAGAACCTGACACGTGGGCCACATAGGCACATGAGAGGTGCACGATTAGACATGGCTTGGCCCCTTAGCAGCAAAAACTGCGGCAGGAAGCAGCAAAGGGTCACAAAAATAAGCGGATCTGCTGGAAAATAATGCATGGCACCAGATATGTAATGTATAATGCATAATGTATAATTTGCGTCAAATACATACTCAATAATAGTGGAGCCGGAAGCCGATGTAGTTTGGACAGCGTTGCCAATACTGAAGCTGCTTGTAGGCTGAACGTCGCTCATCCCATAGCCGCTCATGTAGTAAGCCGCCACAGCCCCGCCCGGCAGGTTGCCAAAAACAGTGTCAGCTGGGGCCATGCGGCCATCTGAGGACCACGCCACAGAGAACCACCCCGCTGCTGCCGAGCTCCCCGCTGCTGCTTCAAGGGCAAGGTTGACCTTGGTCGCACTGGCTGCCTTCCAGTGGAGAGTGAGACTGATGGGAGGGGGAAAGGGGAGGAGCAGCGCAGTGACAAGAGTATTGGAAAGAGGAAATGGAAGGGGAAGGGCAACGCAGTATTGGTGCATTGAGAGACATTTGAGGCATTTCATGAGCATTCAATGAGGGTGGTGACTCATTGGAATTCAAAGCATGTCGATTGCAGGGGGAAAAGGTATGTTCATGAAGATTGCAGGGGGGAAACTTCAAGGCCCGTGCTAGAAACTCACTCGGAGGACAGCTGCGTTGAAGAGGCATAGTCAGCGAGCGATGACGCGTCACAAGTGGCACTAGTGCCCACTGTGGTCGTCCCCAGCGTTGCACTGACTGCTGCGGGATGCGCTCCCAGCGATGAATTCCCTACACCTGCTGCGGCAACCCTTGCAGTTGCAGTGTTGGACGACGTTGCTGCCGCTTCGGTTACAGTAGCTGCATCGCTTCCAGTGCTGATGCTGCTACCACTGGCACCAGTAGTAGCAGTAGTGCTGCTAGAAGCAGTGGAAATGGAGGCGCTAGCAATCCTGCTGTTCACCCGTGCTCTCCAACCGCTGCCAATAGTTGGCTTCACAGCTTGCACACGATGCGTGAGAAGCTCACGCCTGGGCTTTCCACTGGCAGCAAACGCACTGCCTTGGAGAATGGCAGCCATCACCACGAAAGCAAAAATCGCCCTAGTGCCCATGTTGCGGAATACTATAAGTGATAGGTATGTAAGGCGTACTCCTGCGAGAGTGCCAAATTTAGATGGTTGGAGTGAAATGAGGGTTTTGCGGAATGGCTGGTGTTGGTGAAGGTGGGGTAGGGAATGGTGAATGCTCTGTGCTGGTGCTGTGTTTGCCTGAAGTGGATTTGTAATTTCTTCAGGCTCAAAATTCTATCCACCGCATTTGCGTCACCCATGTCGCGCATGCCTAGTTCGCACGACGCGAGATTGGAAAACCAATCTCGAGAATGGTCGTTGTCGGTGAAGATCGACGGCTATTATTTCTGCAAGTGCCGAACGTAAACTGCGGCGAAGGGATGGATTTCGTGACGTGGTTGCAAAGACGAGTCAGCGTCCAGGCAAGACTGGCCAGAGCAGTATTTTGACTGGCTGCTTCGGCATGGTTTGTTGACGAGTCCATTCTCCGAAAGTCAACGTGCTGCGAGAGGCTTCGCGAACGGAGCAACGAAACCGCTAGGTGTAACATCGAAATTATCGGTACAGTTAAAGCGTGAATTCCAAATGATCCCACTCGTTCAGCAACATAGAGAGCCAAATTATAACGAAACTGCCTTGACAATTTCAGTCGCTGCCAGAGCAGCTTACAACGGGGATTCCATTTTTGTCCCTCGCAATTTCATTCGCTGCCGCTCACTATAATATGTCTATGTCTTTAGCCATGCTCTCAGGTGACGCACAAATCCTGATTCTGGCGACCAAGGCACGTCTGAAATGCGGATAGCCTGTCTGTCGTCTCGTCCTCTCGGCAATGCGCAATTTAGGAGTCGCTTTTCGCGCGAGCACCTTCCGCGCAAGCACCATGCGCTCTCCTCAGTTGCCTTCCGCAGCCGGCGGTAGTCAGCGCAATTCGGCTTCGGTAGCGGGAATGGCGACGATTAACGCGACGGCTAGTGTCGCAGGGCGGTCGCATGGCAGAAGTGTGCTTCAGCCTGGACGGTTTCCGACTCAACAAGAGCTTCTTCGCTTCCCAGATAAGTGAGTCATGTAAATTCGATACAATTGAACGTGCATCAAATTCGGAAGGTTTACATTGGTCATACGAAAATTCAGGTGCTAGAATACTCCCCTCCTCGGCCTGCAATGCTGACTCCGCCGCCCTCAGAGGAGCTTATCCCCTCCCTCCCCCTGCACCCGCCACTCTCTTCCACCCCCTTCCCCCCTTTA